ATATAAATATATATTCTTGTATATATCGGTCGGTTCGGTTAACCGCCAATTTTTTTAAATGGTTAACCGAAACCAAACCAATTGATTTGGTTAACCAATTTTTCGATTCGGTTTCAATCGGTTTTTTCGTTTTTTTTGCTCACCCCTAAAGACAACATCATATCCACACACTAGTAAAATCGGATTGGAGAGTAAAGTTTACTCTAATTCTCTATTTACACCTCAAACAAATGCAACCTAAGGCATATACTTTAGGTTTGGACTTGGCCCCAACTAACAAAATGCATATGTACATTGGGTTGGATTAAGTCGGACTAACCTTATTATTAATAGGAGATTTTAATGAGGCTGCTTCTTATAATATTGGTGATCTCTCATCCTCTAGTGTTAATTCAAGTTTGACCTCTACTAAGTATAGAAAGTTTATTTATGATCTCAATCTTTTGGAATTAAATATTCAAGGAGGAAGAATTTCTTGGTCCAACAAAAGGAGTAAAGGCTTCATCACTCGAACCTTAGATAGAGCATTAATGTCTCCAGAGTTAATTGAATTGTTTCCAAATGCTGCTCTTTCCCTAGACAAAAAATGGGGTCAGATCATCACCCTTTGTTGTTAAATTTGGACCCACCCACTCAGAATTTGCCTAAACCCTTTAGGTTCTTTGAAATGTGGCAGACCAATCATTCCACCAACTTATTGAATAATCTTGGAAAACCAATAATAATGGTTATGCAGTCTTTAAGCTTTCCAAAAAATTAGATGCCTTGAAGAAAGATTTAATTCATTGGAAGAAAAACATCTTTATGGAGCCAAAAGAGAAATTACGAAAATTGGAAGATCAAATTTTAAATGCAAAACAAATGAACTTCCACCATGATCTGAAAGAGCTATATCTGGAGTATGAGAAAACAAATTGCCAATTGGAAAGCTACTGGAGACAAAATTCAAGACAAACTTGGCTACAGTTAGGGGACAAAAATACCATTTTTTCTTCTTCACAAAAGTACTATTTTTAAGAAAAAGAGAAATTTTATTGTGGGAATAAAAAATGATCAGAATATTTGGTAAACGTCGCATGTAGACATTACAAATACCTTCCTAGATTACTTCAAATCCCTCTATACTTCTCAACATCTAGATGAACTGGAAGAGCTTTCCCAGGTTATTTCCCCTGCCATTACTAGCAAAGAAAATTTAATGCACCTTCATCCTCCAACTCCTGAAGAAGTTAAATCAACCATTTTTTCAATAGCAAACCTCAAATCCTCAGGACCTGATGGGATGCCTTCCCTGGTGTTTAAACAATTATGGGAGTTGATGGGACCAAATATAATCTCAATAGTTCATGAATTCTTTCAAAATAAGAGACTTCTCGAGAGACTGAATCACACTTTCATTTGTCTCATCCCTAAAAAGGTTGATTGTACAAAAGTACAAGAATACAAACCCATCAGTCTTTGTAACGTAATATATAAAGTGATAGCTAAGCTGATAACTAATCTGCTTCACTCTATCCTGGATAAGTGCATAGCTCCCAACCAAGTTGCTTTTGTCCCAGGACATCAAATGTCAGATAACTCAATATCAACTCAGGAAATGTTTCATTTTTCTGAAACACAAAAAATGAGGAACAAGTTATCTGGCTATCAAACTAGATATGTCCAAAGCCTTCGATAGATTATAATGGAATTTTCTCCTCAAAGTTACGTCTCTTCTAGGCTTCTCTGACTCTTTTTTGTGATCTTATAAAGGAATGTATTTTCCATCATTTCCTATTCCACTCTTGTAATCGGTAGTTATGAGGGTCAATTTTATCCTTCCTGAGGCCTTCTTCAAAGAGATCCTCTCTATTCTTATCTATTTATTTTAGCCATGGAAGTTCTTTCGAGACCGTTGTTTAAAGCTGAGCAAGATGGGAAATTCCAAGGCATCCTCATTACTTCCTCAACAACCAGAATTTCCCATTTGTTTTTTGCTGATGATGTAATGCTCTTTCTAAGATCCCATAGGGATGAACTTGATAATCTCGAGCAAATTCTAAAAACTTTTTAGTATGCCTTTGGTCAAGTCGTCAATTTGGAAAAATATGGAATCTTCTTTAGTAAAAATATTCATCCTAGACTTCAACACATGATCAGTAGGCAAATAAAAATCAGACTCTTGAATTGACACTTTAAGTATCTAAGTCTCCCTCTTTTCTGTTCTAAAAATAAACATGCCAACCTGAATTACATTATGGAAAATCTTCAAGCTAAATTAAGCATATGGGAAGCTTATGCCATCAACCAAGCAAGGAAGGCAGCCCTTATTCAATCAATGCTTCAGTAGTTCCTCTTCATGCAATGTCACTAATCAAGTTTCCTTGGAAAACGATTGATAGTATTGAGAAGACTATCTGAAACTTCTGGTGGGGTGTCTCAAATAACAATAAACATCCCTATAGATGGTGTTCCTGGAATACCCTCTCTTTACCTAAATCTCATGGTGGACTTGGCTTTAAAAGACTCAAATTAGTTAATCAAAGTTTATTGAAAAAGAGTGGCATGGAGATATCTTAATGAAAAAAGTAAATTATGGTCACAAATTTGGAGAGCAAAATATCTTAAAAATACTGTGTTCTTCCCCTACTCCATCCCTTCTTCAGGTTCCATTTATTGGAAGGTTGTTGGTCCCCAACTAATCGAATTAGCCAATGAATGTGGATAATTAGTAAATGAAAACTCCTCTTTCCCACGAGTCTTTAGATTCAATATGAGGGTCAATTCTTTT